CACACACACACACACACACACACACACACACACACACACACACACACCAGAGAGGGAGGCACTGCCAGGGTCTCCTGTAACTCAGGCCCCCAAGGAGAGACAAATCTTAGGGCTACATCTACTAAAGTAGCCTGCTCGCCTGGGTACTGGCCTCTGGCTGAGACAGTGGGTTTGCGTGTTGCCCACTGAAAGCTCTCACCTAAACCTGGCCCCTATAGCCCATAGCAGAGATGAAGCCAATGACTGCTTTTATCTGTCACCTGACAGCTGGCCTGGGCTGGGCTGAGCTGAGCTTCTCACTGGGGATCCTAGTCCATCCCCCACTCTGCATCCTCCCATCCTCCCCCTACCCATCTTCACTAAAGGATGGCTGAATGCCCTTATCAGAACATTGCCACCCATCAGCATCCACAGTGACGCTGATAGTGAGATGGCTGGGCTGGAGGGACCAGGGACTGAATTCCTTTACCTTTTATTTTTGTGATGGATGGGTCTGTTATGTTTGACATTAAAAATGAAAACTAAGGAACTCAAGAGATAGTTCAGCGGTCAAGAGTGTGATACACACACACACACACACACACAGAGGTGACAGCATTGGGTGAGACAACTGACCTAATTTCCCATCAAGGATGAGGGCTCCATCCAAGAAAAGGAAAGGTCAGCACTCAGCAGTAACCGTAAAATGCAGACGTCACCCTCATCAGATGTTAACTCCAACACAGAATGGCTGAAAGAAAACAGGGGACAAAAGAGGCAGTATTGCTGCGGTATGATTATGGAACATAGGTGACAGTCCAACAAACAGGGAATGGACACCCCAATGTCCATTCATGGGCCAACAGCTCCCTTAAGTATAAAGTTCCATATATAGGCCTATGTGTGCACAGGAACAGCCATGAACACCCAACGGCCAAAAGGCTCAAATGAGAATACCTGAACCAAAGTCCACTGGAGCAGCCAGATGTGCCGCTACATGAACTTATTTTTGATCTTCATGGTCTTGGGATGGTGCCTCATATATCCCAGACTGGCCTCAAACTCAATAAATAGATGAGGATGACCTTGAACTCTTGGAGCAAAGTTTTCACGTACTTTATTGAGCCACAGAAGAGAGGGAGCCACACAGTACAGCTATGTGTGGCGGGAGGCAGAGGCCACAGGAGTGGCCAGGGACTCAAGGTAGAATGGAGTGGGGGTTCAGAGGGACACCCAGAAGTCCAGAAGACGGGGGCAACAGAGGACAAGGAAGGAAGGGTTCCACCTGGGCAGGAAGCAGCGAGTTAAAGGGAGCAGGGGCCTGGTTCTTCCCTGACCCTGGATGGGTTTCAGGAATGCTCAGGGACATAGCGGTGGATCCAGTCTAAGTAATACGTCACCCGGGTGTAGATGCCAGGCCTGTCGGGCTGTGCGCAGCCCTCACCCCAGCTGACCACTCCTGCTTGCAGCCAGGTACCCTTCACTTTGCAGACCAGGGGACCCCCTGAGTCACCCTGAGGAAGACAGGTGTCAGCACACCATATGGAGACCAGATGGGGTGGGCAGGGGGGACACAGGGCATACCTGGCAGGAGTCCTTCCTGGTATTTCCAGCACACAGCATGCCATCATGGACAATCGGAAAATCATCTCCTGTGTAGAGGCCAGTGTGGTACTTCCGATCACACAGCCCGTTTTCCACAATGGGGACCTTCACTTGCTTCAGAGGATAAGGTGGCAGGAGAGGCTCTGGGGTGAGAGAAGTGCAGCCTTTTGAGGAAGTTCACTAGTAACCATCTCTGGACAGCCATTGGAATCCCTGCCCACCCTCCAGTGATGGAGTTGGGTGAGACTTAGACCCTGCCTAACTGGTGTCTATCCCTGCTGCATACCATCATTATCAATGTCACCCCAGCCTGTCACCCAGCATGATGTCCCTGCGGGGAAGGTCTCCAAGGCAGGGGGCAGCGATATGGGGTGGATATGGGTGGAGACATTCACAGGGTCCTCAAGCTCCAGCAGGGCAATGTCTGCCCCACCCACGGCCGTGTAATAGTGGGGGTGCACAACGATCCAGTTCACAGGCAGTAGCTGGTCCCCATAGTATAGATACTGCTCACGAAGCTGCACTCGGAAGAGCTCTGGGCTCTTGATGTGCCTAGAAGAGTACAATCCTGCTTAGAAGGCTCCAGCCTGGATGGGAACATCCTCAGGAATACTGGGGACAGTGGGAATAATCTTGACCCCATCCCACCATGCCAGTCCCAGGGAGACTCACGGTCCCACACAGTGTGCTGCAGTGAGCACCCACTGTGGGTGGATGAGGGAGCCGCCGCAGAAATGCATCCAGAAGTTGGATTTAAATCTCAAACTGACCTGCCAAGGCCATTTACTCTCAGAAGCTTCGTGTCCTCCCACGATGCCCGCTCGCTCCTTGGCTGGGCCTGGAGAAAGACAAGAAACAACCTCAGTGCCCTGCCTTGCCCCTCCTGAATTGGAGCTATCCCTGGGAATCTCCAAAATCCCCCATTCCTGTGGCCTGTGAAGATCAGGAAGAGAGAGCTCAGAACAACTCACGAGGGGCCACATGCACCAGACTAGCCAGGAGGGACAGTGCCAGCAGCAGCAGCAGCTTCAGCATCTGGAAGCAGTGAGGAGTACAGCCTGAGTCCAGCTGGGAGACAGGGCTGGACTGGGGTTGGTAGAATATCAAGTCCAGAATGAAACTAGGGCCCAGTGAGATGGAGGGCAGGTTCCCAGGAGTCTTGACGAACCAGGTTACTAAGGTCACAAGCTTGGTTACTCTGCTTCAGAGTGACATACAGACGCCAGGGGCTCTGGGAAAGGACCCTACCTTGGCTGTCTCTGCTCCTCTCTCCTTGGCCTGCTGTCCTCTGCCTTTTTATTTTTCCAGACCAGAGTGCATGAGAGGAGGGGCACAGACCTGCCAATCCAGACACAAAGGAAATGATGATTTAGAGCAAAGACCTCCATGTAACATATGTTCCCACCACCCAGATGTCCTTCTCATGCCCATGGGTCACAAGGTTGAGTGCACAACCAGAGGACCACACACACACACACACACACACAGACACACACACACACTCACTCACCCTGCATGGAGTCTTGGTATTTATTTATGGAAGGCAGAGTTCTGAGATCCAGCTGCTCTGGGTCTCGGACAGGAGAGTCAGACAGAGCGGTGGATGGGGAGGCAGGACAGTGGTCATCCCCAGCTCTCCCTGGCAAGGTGTATCTTCTGAGAGAAGGCTGGTAGCCTCTTCTCAGATTTGCCCCCAATTTGTGTCTTGCCCCTCAGCTGGTGCAATGCCCAATGAAAGGCTCACCTTATCAGATGTCCCATAAGCAGCCCTCCACATCAGGAGACCTGGACAGATGTGGCCCCGAGATCACGCTGCTACTCTGCTCTGGCTCCATGGACAAAGCACTGCATACTGAGAATACGTCTCAGTTGAGTGCTCCCCATCACTGAGCTGGTGCTCCTTCCAACTGTTGCGATGGGGATCCTGCCCCAGGGATATAGAGGAGGTCTCAAGAAGACTCCTGGCTCAGTGTCACCCCAGCATGACATGTTGACACACTCTAACACATTTCCCAAGAATGAGACAGGAAAAGAGATTATGGTGTCTGTGAGCCACCCTAAAAGGAGCAAAGAGGCAAAACGGGTAACGGTTCATCTTAAGTCCTCCGAGTCCTCGGGGTTGGGCTCAGCTTTCCACTGGAGAGGATCACATGAGGTCCCTTGTCAAAGTAGCAATCAGCTGATTTTGGCAGAGATCAGTACCAAGTGTCCTGTTACGGTGGACCCTGCTGACCTATCTGGCGAAGCTCTACAGATAAATCGTGCAGTGTGACCTCCAGGCCAGGTCTCCTGATTGGGGCGGGGGCTGCTTATCAGACATCTGACAAACTGAGCCTTTCATAGAGCATTTCATCAGCTGAAGGGCAACACACACAGAGGAGAGCAACCTGAAAAGAAGCTACCAGCCTCTCCTCATAAGCTACCACTCCAGGACCAGGGATGATCACTGTCCTGCCTCCCCATCCACCCTACTGCCTGGTTCCTCTGTCCTGCAGGTCAGGGATCTACAGTCCCCTCCTCAAGAGTCCATCACCAGCTTGGTCCCCACTGACATTTCCTGGTTTTCTCTGAGGACCGCCCTACCCTGCTCTCTACACACTTCAGGGACTTACTCACCTGGACTCCTTGGGCAACTCAAAACAGGCTCACTTTCTAACAAGATACCCCCACCATTCTCAAACAAAGCTGACAAGACAGAATGCAGGGGTCCAAAGATGGCAGAGAGAGATGTCCTAAGAACACACAGGAGTCTTCAACCGTTAAGGGCCCAGAGGGGTTAGCGCCTGCATGCACCATTGAATCAGGGGCTATGGATCCTAGTCCTCCCAAGAATACTGCTTGGTTCGGACCCAAGATTAGCCAAACCAGTAGCTAAGCTAAGGAGGTGAAAGCAGTATATAATCCTGGAAGAGGGTTGAGATCTGGACTATATCCTGGCTCAAAACAAAATTCAAAAAGAGCAAAGCTTTCTCAGCATGGCAGATTCTGAGGGAATGTGTTACCAGGGTCTCTGCTACCCTGGAATCTGACGAGAAAGTTCTGCCCCAGAAAGAAGGTGGTAAGAGGACACAATCTAGTTCCGCATCAGGAAAGTTCTGGAAATGAACAGATCTTTAAATATGAACTTTCAAAACATAACTGAAAATAATTAATGGTTTGAAGAAACCACACACCCAAGAAGATGTATAATCCTTACAGCTAGCGCTCGGAATGGTATGGACTTCCAAGGTTACTTCCAAATAATTATGGAAATATGAGTGTAGGCTGCTTTTGTATGTTGCAGTCCTGCTAAATTTGGGCATCCCTGCATTTGCGGATCCCGGAAGCTTTCCTATGTAAGCTACAACCAACCTTCTGCAAAGCCTGGTTTGATCCTCATGCCACAGTTCTTGGTGTCTCCAGCAGAGGGCATCCCAGACCAAGGAGGAGGCTATGACCAGCCCTCTGGATCAGCTGCTCAGGTGCAATGCTAATAGGGACTCCCCTAAGCCACTTGCCTCTTAGATGGTGACATTGAACCTGGCTATGGTAGGTATCTCCTGGGGCTGTGATAGAAACCCCTAGGAATGAGCTTAGCATAAACTGAGTGAACCAGGACAGGCAGACCCTCTACATGAGACTTTGGCTGATAACCTCACTCTGAGCCTTAGTTTCCCCTATGGAGAGAGAAGGCAGGGCTACACAGAGACTGAGCCAGAATCGGGGCTGCTGGAGACTTAGGCCAACCTGGTGTATGACCTTTGCCTCTTCTTTGCCTGGAGGATGGGTAGGGGGCAATGGAGGCCAGCAGCCCAAGATAAAAAGGAAGTAAACCTGAGTGACTCTTTGGGAGAGAATTGTAACCAAGAGCTTATGGTTTTCGTGGTAGCTATGGAAACACAGGTGTGAGGTGTGGGTGTGTGAGCATGAATGCACACGGGGATGTGTTGTAGAGTGCTCTCCTGCAGCATGACAACTGTCGTCTTCATCAGAACAGATGATGTCTGTTGATTCCTTCATAGAAAAAGGGAGAGGCCAGATAGTGGTGGCCAGACAGGTGATCCCAGCACTTGAGAGGCAGAGGCAGGTGGATCTCTGTGAGTTCCTGATCTACATAGTGAGTTCCAGGATAGCCAGGGGTACACAGAGAAACCCTGTCTTGAAAAAACAAAACAAAAGGAAGAAAAAGAGGAAGAGGAGGAAGAAGAAGAGGAGGAGGAGGAAGAGGAGGAGGAAGAGGAGGAGGAGGAAGAGAAGGAAGGGATAACGAGGGTCATTAGATGCCATACAGTCATACCCTAAATGCACACAATCTCATAGGCTGAGGAGGTACAAGTGTTACAGAGTATGGGAGGTTAAGCAGGGGAGAAGGAACCTTTGTCCATGTTGAGGTGAGACTGTTAGATGGTGCAATTGCTTTGGGGTTACCCACCCTCCTGTAAGTAATCACTTATCATTGTTCTGTAAATCCAAGAAACACTTTGTTCCTTGTCAGGCTGCCTGTCTGCTTCAACACTGGGATGCCTGAGCACCACCAGCAAGCCGCTCAGGGGAGGCAGAACACAGTCCATAAGAGGGGTCCCAGTCTGTGCTTCCCTGGGTGAGAAACAGTGTAGTCTGAGAGGGATACTGTGGTTCCCAGCCTCCTGTATACCCAGACAATGCTGTGTACCACTGGGAGTTGGAAACGGGTTGGGGGGTGGGGGGAAGTCCACTTGTCCTCTCGGGGTATCTATGAATCAGGCAGGGAGGGGATAGCTGAGCCCAGGACTGGGATGGAATCCAGTTTGGTCGAGTGAGTGCCAAGAGTACCAAGGGGTTTGAAGAGAGAAGGTCTTTTGGGGGAGATTTAGACAGGGCTCTTCACAATGAAGGCCTCCTCCCCACCACCACCCCATGGCCATTCTTGATGAAGGAGATGGTCCTTGCTTGTCTAAACTGTTTTATTTAGAGGCAGATATAAATGAATTAATACCTCTTGTGGGAAGGAATGTCCAGGAAGGGAAGCTGGCTCATTGGCTGAACACTCGAAGCCTATTTAGATACCTCATTAGCATGGAGAACTCCAGGTTTTTATGCTATGTGACTGATTGTCATGGTCCTCTCAGTGGGGAGTCATGGTTACATGTTCCAGATGATGTAGTTTGGCAGAGAGCTGGCTCCATGCCTGTCATTCTCAATTCTGAGATTCCCCAGTTTTTGAGCCTGCTCATCCTCACCAGTTCTTCTGCCTGGTGATACAGTCCATTTGCCCCACGGTTTCCCAAGTTTGACTTTGGATTCATACCTTGATTTTGTCGTTAGTGCTTTTATAAGGAGGAGGACGGTGTTTGTTTAAAACTCCACAGAGAAAGAGTTCACTTGACAGTATGTGTGCCCATGTGCTCTGCATAAGCACATGTGTGTGGCTGAGTTTGTACACACATGTGTGTGTAATCCATAACTTTGTCCCCGAGAAGGGACAAAGGTGCAGACACTCTGAGAGCTACATACAGTACCCAACCCCAGATGGGGGTTTCTAGACATCATTTGCCGGTGGAAGGATTCTGAATCAAAGGAAGTGCAACAGGAGCCTGAAATGATTTTCCATAATTAGATAATGCAAAAGAGATGGAGCGGGAGTCTAAAGACAGAAGCCAGCTTTCAGGAGGCCCCAGCGTCCCCGTCAGAACCTCACGTAGCAAACAGGAACCGAGGAAAAGAAAGAAGTGGAGATTCATTGACCAAAATAGAAGACTGTGAGTCAATGTAGTCACAGATAAGTGAATCAGTGATTAAAATTAAGTTAAGAAATCAGATAAAGTTTCACTGTCAGCCCTAGGTGCATGGTGGTGCATGGTGGTGAGGGGGACAGAGGAACGTCTCTGGGAAGGCTGAGGGCCTCTTATCAAGCATCAAGCACCAGGAAGTGAAGTGGCAGGCATTTGATAAGACACCACTAGGTCTGAGTCACATCTGTGGTGGTGCCATGAGATGTCTGACTTCAGTCTAATTGTGAGAAATATCAGACAGTCCTGCTTGAATGTAATTTTACAAAATGCAATCCTCAGAAACGTTAGGCTCAGAAAAGCCCAGAAAAGGGACTGAATTATCCAGTCGTCCACTTCAGACTAATGGACATAGAAGAGAGACCAAGTATACCTGGGATTCCAATCTGGCTCCTTCTCCCACTGAGGTGGTAGGTGGGTGCCAAACAATGCCTGAGAATCCTTTGTGACAGTGTCTTTAGATGTGTCCTGACTCAGGGGGCTGTAGGGCAGCACCATAACAAAAGCATTCCCCTTTTTAAAAAAGAAAGAAAAGAAAATAGGAGAGGCTAGTGAAAATCTGAAGCTCTCACACAGTCCAAACTTTTAAGTGGTCCAGAAATAAAATTTTTTAAAACAGACAAATGGCTTTCCTGAAAATTTCTGTATGAAATTGTGTGTGTGTGTGTGTATTGTGTGTATGCTCATGTTTATGAGTGTGCAAGTGTACATGTACATGTCTACATATATGTGTCATTCCTCAAGTGCTGTGTGCTGTGTGCTGCCCACTTCTCTGTCTCTCTCCTCTTCTTCTTCTTCTTCTCCTTCTCCTCCTCCTCCTCCTCCTCCTCCTCCTCCTCCTCCTCCTCCTCCTTCTTCTTCTTCTTCTTCTTCTCCTTCTTCTTCTTCTTTTTCTTGTTTGTTTTTTGAGACCAGATCTCCCATTGGACCAGAACTCACCAAGTAGGCTAGGTCTCCAGCAAGCTTATATCCATGTGTGCGCACACACACACACACACATCACACACAATACATGTATGGAGGCCACAGGACAATAAGCAGGAGCTGATTCTCTCCTTCTACCATGTGGGTCCCAGGGCTCAACTCAAGTGGTCAGGTTTAGTGGCAAGTGCCTTTATACACTGAGCCATCTTTTTCAATGTTAAAAGTTTATTTTTTATTGAAAATAGATTCTTCTCTCATACAATACATCCCAACCACAGTTTCCCCTCCCTCCATTCCTCCCAGTTACCCCCCACCTTCTCTCTGCCCCAGATCCACACCCCTCCATTTCCAATTCACAGAAGAGCAAGCCTCCAAGAGATGACAGTTAAAC